AAACCAATTTGAACTGCAATCCCGTATAGTTTTGTGAAACTAAAATCCAATTTGATTTCGTGAGTTCAAGCATTGAGGGAACTATTTCTGGTCTTTTATAATATTTTCTCATTTGTTTCTCAGTCTTTTGGTCGCAATTCTCCCTAAAATTATTACAAACTTAATTCAATGTAAATATATAGTAATAACAATGAACTGACCAGTGGGCATACCATCCAAACTGGAACACCTTATTTGATCTCATTTTCTTTAACAAAGTCAAGTGATCGCTGGTCTTAATGTTGGATCTGAAGAGACATATATTCTTCCAGTCATTCGAGTCATATATCTATAAAATGATACAATTACTACAATTGTAATAAATGTTAATTCAATTACTTCTTCAATATCTTTGAGACCAAAATGGTGTCGAGCGATGGGCCACTTAATCAGTTCACTCTCCATAACATCTGATCCAACAATGACTGGAATTTCATTTTTTATATAATTTTCTCCAATTATTCCACTCTTGAGGTCTGAATTTCTTTCAATTCTGAAGATGTCTTCACATAAATAGCAATCGCGTTCTCGTAAGCGTTTTGTCTCATAAAATGGATTATTCATTAGACATGAAGAATGATACCATTTAGTCCAATCCCAATAGGGCTCTACCTATAATTCAATCAAATTAACATTACCACATAATTACTATATAAAATTACTTAGCCTAATAATTAATTCCATAAGTAAATAATTTTTCATTAATTTTAAGATAGTAAAAATACTCTTTAATGTTTTAAAATATGAATAAAAAACCAAAATTATTTTAGTGTATTAATATCTCTTAAAACGTGTCTTATCTTTAGGAATGTTTATTAAGTAAACAGATTTTGTTTGGAAAACTTATCGCAACAAAACATACCTTAAATAAGAGTAGCCTTCCATACATACACGTCAGTCGATTCAATGGATCCACACTTTTTGCGCAAAACAATACAATTAATATTACCAATAATTTAATTACAATCAAAGAATATTTCTTAATTTTTGATTGTTTTATGGTTGAGTTAAACACTTGGAGACCAATCGATGCAATTTCTTCATTTGATGTTTCATTTGAAGCAAATCTTTCAAAAACCAATTCTAGCTTAGAATCCATTTCCTTAAGAGTTGTTTCGTTTGTTTCACTTTTTGTATTAATAAATGTTATAATACTTGTTATATAAGATTTCATTTTATTAGTTATATTTGTTGAATACATTTTTTAAATTAAAGATGTGGTCTTTTAGAAATGAAAATTTTAAATTGAATCTAGTTTACAATGAATATCATAAAATGAAGTGATTCAAAATACAATACAGTATAAGCAAAACTTGCGCATAGATTCTTGCATTTTATTGAGTTCAGGCATGAGCTCTAAATACTCGACTAAAAAAGAACTTAAAATTAAAACTATAAATTGAGTCTGATCATTTTTGGTTAACATTTGAAATCAATAATGCTTTAAATTAGTTATATTTATTTTTATTAATATCCAATGCTAATTCCAATGCTAATGCCAAATCCAGTGATTTGGTTGAGTACAAAATGACAAATATTTATTGTCATTCACAATATATGCCCAAAAACTTGTACAATCTTAAAAATTTTAAACAATTACTAATAAAATAATGTATAAATCATTGTATTGAGAGCACAAGAATGTCTGAATGGAAGTGTTGTCCCAACTGGGCCACGCAGACATCCTTGTGTCTACAGACAGGTCTGTGCCGGCGTGTGGAGTATGTTCTCCCGGTGGTCTTATAAGGCGTTAGTTACAAAGTCAGCAGGTGTTCACTAGTGTTAAGACCTGGGTGAAACGGGTCGCCCACTCTTGAGGACCTGATCCAATTGGAACAGAAGATCGATCAGAGGATTAAAGAGATTAAAGTTTTGTGACACCAATGAGTGGTTCCGATGCTAACAGAAGTAATGATCTCTATTTGAATGAAATATTAATTCTTCGGAACCGACTCCAAGAGGCAGAACTCAAGAATGCCATCATTGAGGAGAAGGTGAACCAACTCGAGAGGGCCTACCATTCCTCTACTCTACTACAGAATTATCATAAATGAGTCCATCTGTGTGTCACTTATTTATATGATCACTTCATTTAAATGAGCAGGCATGTTTATCGAATCTAATACAGTATTATATTGCAAACTAAATCAACGAATACAACATAAGAATCTTATGGATAAGGAATAGGATGTCCAAACGGAATATTCTGTAATTGCATACCTGTCCAATTCTACTTAGCTTGCAAAACTTGCTATGAGCACAAATAGGGTACAAATAAATATTTGATGAATATTCCAATCTTTAAGCATAACATCAAGCACAATTATTGAAAACAATTCTTAAAGAATATGCGAAAGGGGTGTGAAATTCAAAAATAAAAGATAGCCACCAGTGAGGATCGAACTCACGACCCCTGGTTTACAAGACCAGTGCTCTATCCACTGAGCTATGGTGGCCCCACTCATACCACAGCTCTAATTATTATTATTGTTTCTATTGGACGCAAAAAC